ACATTAGAAACCTGCCTGAAGCTAAGTGATCATTCATTTTGTACTAGTGGATAGACCAGCCTGGGTTATACACTTGTGGGTATCTTGTACAGATCATTGGATTGGAAAGAAGTAATAGCTGAGGCCTTCTTCAGGTAAGTGAAAGAAGCCTTGCTTGATCAAAATGATTTGGAATAGTCAACATGGATTTATGAAAGAGAAATTGTGCTTAGCCAAACTCAGAGCCTTCTACGATGAGAAGAGTGGCTTGGTGCATGAGTGGATGTTCTTTTTCTTTGCCTTAGCCAGGGTTTCAAAACTGTCACCTCTAACATCCTCATAGACAAGCAGAGAAGCATGGGCATGATAACTGGACAATGAGGTGGATTCATAGCTGTGGGAATTGCCAGGCTCAGAGGGTTGTGGTCAGTGGCACAAAGTCCATCTGGAGCTCTGTTACTAGGGGTTTACACAAAGGTTGACTGTTACTACTTAACATCTGTATTAATAACTTAGGCAATGGATGATGGGGCAAACTCAGSAAGTTTGTTGATGGTTCAAAACTGTGAGGAGTGGCTGATACAWTTCAGAGGGACTTGGATGGGCTGGAGAAAAGGGCAGAGAGAAATCCCATTARGCTCAGTAAAGAAAAATACAAAATCCTACACCTGGGGAGGAATAACTTCATGYTCCAGTACAGAGTAGGGGTCAACCAGCTGGAAAACAACATGGCAGAAAAATGCCCTGAGTGTCCTGGTGGACAAGCTGACCATGACCCAGCAATTCTCTCTCATGGCAAAAAAGGCTAGTAGTATACTSTGCTGCATTAGGCAAATAATTCATACACTTCCCCTCTACTCAGCCCTGGTGAGACCACACCTGGCATGCTGAATTCAGTGCTGGGCTCTCCTGGACAAGAAGGTTATGACCTTAATGGACTGGGTCCCATGAAATGTCTGAGAGTTGATTAAGGGACAACAGTAACTGTCACATGAGGAAAGGCAGGGAGAGCTGGGACTTGTTTGGATTGGAGAAGAGAAARCTCAGGGGGAGACTTTTAATTGGATATAAATACATGATGGGACGATATGTAGAAGGCAGAGTCTCTACTGAGAGGTGCCTACTGACAGGATAAGAGGCAGTGGGAACATACTCAAGCACAGGAAATTCTATCTGAAATAACAAACACTTTTTTATTGTGAGGATGGCCAAACACTGCCACAGGTTGCTCAGAGGGGCTCTGGAGTCTCCATCTCTGGAGGTATTCAAAAGCCATGAGGACATGGTCCTGGGTGGCCTGTTCTAGCTGACTCTGCCTTAAGAAGGGTGGCAGAGGATAGACTAKATGGTCTCCAGAGGTCMCTTCCAACCTCAACTGTTATGTGCTTCTGATCCATACTTTCCAAATTGCTATGCACTTAAACAGCACTTTCCTTTTTTAGGAAAGTAAATCAATTCCTGCATGCATTACAGGTAACAGGCAGTGATATTAGACCCTCTYCATGAGCACAAGAATGTCTGTTTCCTATTTCAGACACTGAGTCAGGATGTAGCTTTCAGATATATTTTTTGAAGTTGGACATGAAGACAGCGTGTAAAAAGAACATTTAGTATATGAGACTCAAAGCTGCTTGCTTTATGCAAGGTTGAATCTTAAATTTCTGAGGCTTTGCCATTGCCTGGAGCAGCAGTGCTTGTCCAACCTCCTCACCTGTGAAGGGCTCCTTTGGTCCTGGATAGTCCATGATGTGCCATCTGGATGTAATCACCAAGGCATAACATTCCTCTAGTTCTGTAGAGAGTCAGATGACAAAAGAAAATATTTGGGTACATGAAGGTTAAGATGTCCTTATGTCTAATTTATAGATATAACCAGTTTTTGCCAGTGGAGGTTGATGGGACACATGTAAGCTACATCTGTACTAATAAATGAAATGGTCAAGGGGGCTGACTCACCTGCCAGCTGAATTTGTGTCCATGGGCTGGCTTTGTGCCCTTTTCTYCACAGTRGCTTGTATGGGGCTGTGTTTKGGGTTTGTAATGAGCACAGGGTTGATAATATAGAGATAGTTTTGTTATTGCTGAGCAGAGGTAAGACAGAGCCAAGGCCTTTTCTGCTTCTTWCACTGCCAYGCTGGTGAGGAGGCTGGGATCCATGGGAAGCTGGAAAGAAATACAGCTGGGACCRGTGATTCCAGCTGATCAGAGGATCCAGACCATATGGCATCATGTTCAGGATATAAAGTGGAGGGGAAAAGGAGGAAAGGGTGGGTATTTGGAGTGATGGTGTTTTCCCAARTCACTGATACGAGTGATGGGGTCCTACTGCCCTGGAGATGGCTCAATACCTGCCATGGGTAGCAGTGAAKTAATTCCTTGTTTTGTTTTGCTTGCATGTGTGGCTTTTTCTTTTTCTRTTAAACTGTCTTTATCTCAACCCATGAATTTTCTAGCTTTTGCTCTTCTGATGCTCTCCCTGATCTCATGGATGGGAGTGACCCAGCAGCTGAGTGGGGCTTGGCTGCTGGGTGGGGTAAAACCACAACACCATGCAGGTAAATTCTACCTGCCTCTGACTAGCAGGGCTGCAGCCTGCCTGCCTGTGTGACTCTTGAGCCATGCCTGTGGAGTGCAGGGGAGCTTGAGCAAGGACCACACAGGGAATAAGCTAACCATATGTTTTTTTTTTTGTGCAAATATATGACAGGGCAGACTATTTATGCTTTCCTTAGACTGTATCTGAGCCCCGAATATTTTCTGCTCAATGGATAGGGCTTGGCATCTATTCCATGATTCCAAATAACAAATAATTCCATGGAAATGCCTAGTTAATATTAACAGGCTGTTAGAACAGTGTTGCTCAAGATGTGGCCTGTGCCTATTAATCAGGTTATAGGACATAGTTGGGAAAGTAGTTGGGGCATGAGAAAGACCAGCTACAGATAGATTTATACATCACTTAAGTAGTTGGTGAGAAGGATGTGAATCACTGAGTCCACCTRGAACAGGACYATGGAGCAGAACAGTTGCAAATACTGCTGCATAGYGAAGTCTGTAGGAAACGCTGGGGCTTTCCTTGCATCCTGCATAGTCAAGGATGTTAGAGAGGTAGCCCTGTGAGAGGCCTGAGTCATCCCAGGAGAAGCACCTATCTGTTCTGTGTGACTCCTGAGAGGGCTGGGCAGGCCTCACCCTGCTGTCAAGGAGCACAGTGACATGGCTGCACCGGTCTGGTTGTCCTGCGTGCAATGCTGCTGTGTTTAGAGTGCTCACCCAGAAAGCCACAGACTTAATTCAGTTGGATGCTCAGCCACTAACAGCCACCCCACGGGAGGAGCCACCAGGCATGGACAAGGCTCCCCCTGGGSCAGGGCATGTGCATGCTGGTGACTGGAGTTTACTTGCTAGGGAACCTCTTCTGAGCATCCCATATTCTCCTCTACTCTATCAGGGACTGTTTGAATTCTGACCCAACTCCCCATGCCTGCTTGGTAGGTGAAGTCTGTTCTTTCTACTATGCCTGCTTCCTAGTTAACATTGAATTTTGTGAGAAAATAAGTCAATTGGACCAGAGAGCCAATATTGCCTCTCTGGTGGATGTGGATGCTTAGGGAAAGAGCATAAGGAACAACTGTTACAAAACGATCATTCCCTGACTTATTTACCCCCTTCCAGCAGTCTGTGGTTTGTGGATTTCCTTGGACAGAGATGGCACCCAGGCAATGAATGCTCTAAGCAGAGCACTGAATATTAAGCCACATAATAGCAATTATAGTAATGACAATGATGATGATGCCACTCACTAAGTACTAGCTGCATCTTTTCCATTAATTGTGGTTGATATTTTGGCCTTATCTTGCAATGATTGGCTCTACAATTTATTTAGATGATTCAATCATGTTTAATCCCCAGACACCTGTTTTCCAGGAGAACAATTTCTAACTTACTTTGTCTGCCTCATTATAAAAAACATTCTATTWTTCTGATAATTGCCCTTTGGCCTCGGCCATCTCTTGCTCTGTTTTATGCATTTTGAGATTAGGAAGGAAAAATATTCACACAGCACAATGTGTARTTTACAGAGGTTTACAAATATTTGCTCTTTCGTTCTCTATGGTAGCAAAGTCCAACAAAAAGAATGGAGAATTTCCATCCTTTCTCTGTACAGAGATCCTTTGAAAATTATGTTAAGGAATTGGTTTAGGTACTCTGTGTGGAGATTATGTGTATGTACACTCTCAGAGGCAGCAGCACATCTGTRTTGGGTCTGACTGAGATAAAGGTCATTTTTCTTAGCAGCCCTCACAGTGCTGTGCTTTGCATTGGTAACTGGAAGGGTGTTTAAACACCAGTGTTTTGGCTACTGCTGAGCAGCACTGTCCTCTAACATTCATTCCCCCCACATCAAAGGGCTAGGAGTGAACAAGATTCTGGGAGGGGACACAACTGACCCAAACTAACCAGAGGAATATTCCATACCCTATGACATCAGCTCAGATATAAAAGCTAAGGGAGAGGGGAAATGGGGTGGGTGGCATTTATTATGCTACAGTGTTTTTCTTTTGGAGCTCCATGTGCTGAAGTCCTTCTTCCTGAAAGTGTCTGAACGCGGCTCACTGATGGGAAGTAGAGATTGACTTTTCCCTTTGCTTATGTGCATGCAAACTTCCACTTTTTTTTTTTTTTTTTTTTTTTTTTTTTTTAAAATTTTTTTTTTTTTTTTTTTTTTTGCTTTAGTAAATGGTCTTATGTCAACGTATGAGTTGTTTTCCATCTTATTTTCTCTCCCCTGTCCCGCTGAGAAAGAGGAGTGATAGTGTGGCTTAGTGGGCACCTGGTGGCCAGCCAAGGTCAACCCACTGCAGTCTTTTTCTTGGTGCCCAAATGTCAGGCAAGACAAAAGCAGTTATTTATTGCATGCTATAGTAAACAGTAAATAGTAGTTTCCGAATAGCAAGCTCCTGTGCAGGACACTGAGTTTGTCAGCTGCACTGCTTATCTCTTCATTTTGCAGAGTTTGGTAATGTGCTAACATAAACAAGGGCTCTATGCTTTGCCCTTGCACTGATGGCCTTGCTGTGGYGGGGGAGCTGTCTTCTGTGTCCCATGAGGGAATGTGCCTCCTTCTCCCTGCCTGAGATTGATGTGAGTGCTTCTAGAATGCAGTCTCTCATGGTCTTTGCTCATCCTTATGCAAGCTGCTTAATATTGTTAATAATACTAACTAATACTGTTAGGTATGCTTTGGAGTTCACGGAATCTAGCATCATCCTGATGTAAGAGGAAACAAACTTAYATGAGGAGATACTGAAATCTGCCCTGAGGCATCCAGTTCTTGGGTGGCAGGATTTGTGGAAGGATTTGGGCAGGTTTTTAGGGCGGTTATCACCTCCCATTGCCTAGGACTGCCCAAGAAGCACCACCATATAACCTCCACTTTCTGAGAAGTCCCCTGTCCACAGGGGTCTGATAAAATCTTTGAAGCTAAGCCCTTCTTGAAAAACAGAAAGTGAGCACTATTGCTATTGGTGGATAGCCTGTTGCTTCCCTTCCAACCTGAGTTCCTCTGGGGTTGGGCATTGCTGGTTTGAGCACTGACTGGACCTACACAGGTCTCTTGGTGCTCTCCTTTGTGTGGAGAGGTRTGTGCTGAGATATTTGGGAGGTCAAATGTGGGAGGAGTCTGGAGCTCACACCCTTGTAAAAGACCATAAATGAGCAAGGGTCTGATGCCTCAACCCATCTTGGGAAAAATTGTCACCATGAATGGACTTTTATCGCATCTGATCTAGACAAACCCTTGCTCTAAGTCTGCAAAAGCCTAAGTTCGCGTTAGGATCAGCAGCATGAGCAATGTAAAGCTTCACCTGCTGTCCCATGGCTCACAGCCATCAGAACAGTGAGCATTGGTCATGCTGGACACAGCTGCTTCCCAGCCTTGCACCAAGTCCTGATGTTTYGACTGGATCCATTGCTATTCAACCTCAGAGATGCTTCATTCTTTTTTTGGTTTCCATCTGCCACACAGAAAGAAGCAGAGCAAGGATTTCATGAGAAGAAGGAATTGCTAGGCTTCCTTARCCTAGGAAAGGGTTGCCAGCTGCATGCCCAAAACCGGTTCCAAGGTAGCCAGACACAGAGAAGTTCCTGCCTGCCTCACAGTGTGCCAAAGCTAATGAGGTAAGAATATGAAAGCATTCCTTGGCAATCACTTGATAGAAGGAGTGGCTCAAAATTAGAGGATTTTTTTTCTTAAGTTTTTTTTTAAAGATAAAATTCTGCAAACACAGAAAGGYCTTCCATCCCAAATTACATGCCAGCCTTATCTCACCTGGAACATCAGGTTTCATAGACACTGCTAAAATCTCCCTTCTATCTAGATCTTCTCTGACTTTCCTCCTCTCACTTTTTCTGACTTTTTTTTTGTTCTGCTCAATCTTAGGTTGCCTACTGACTATCTCCTCACTTTATTAGGTGGGTTAACCCTTTGGTGGATTATTCTCAGCTTCTCACCACTCCTGTATGTCCGGTTGGTCTCTGTTTCAGCTGTCTATTCTCCTGTTTCTGAGTAGAAGCAGAATTTCCTTTGCCTGTCTTCTTGCAGACAATTTACAACTCATTCTCTAGGCCAGACCTGCCTTCTTCTGCCCACACTGAAATCTGAGTGGCCAKATAAACTGAGCTTGGACAAACAGGAGCTCCTTAGCACCTCCCTCTTTACCTTCTTCCTTTTCTTTTTCGATAACCATGAACAAAAAAGCCCCACATATCAGCTTGTAGTTTGTGCACACAGTGCTTAAGTCTAGGCTGTCTAAGCCTTGCAGAGTCTTCCTTCATTGTGTTAAATAAAGAGACATTTTTAGAGAGCTATTTTGTGGCTCATGCCTGTGTCTGGCTTCCCAGGTTTTTTGTGTCTCTTCCACCACCTGGGCAGAGGAAGAAGGCACAGCCTCGCACTTTGCATCCTTTGGGTGCAGGGCTGCTGATATGGAGCTGCAGAGGGGCAAAATCAGGAGGCAGAGCTTACTCAGGAGCAAAAGAAGCAGTCAGTCAGACAGGAGACTCAACCAYGGAGATTTGCTATCTGAGGAGAGGAGGGGGCAGGCAGGGTGTGGTTCTGAAGGAGAGTGTAAGGCTGGCAGAGTGGAAGTAATGCTGAAGCTAGTAACCTKTTTCCCTGGAAAACATCCTTGCAGTTCTCTTGACTAGGTTTAGCTTTGCTTCTTGGAGCTGGCAGGGCTCCTTGGAGCACTAGGACAGAGAAGCTGGGATATGCTGGATACATGTGATTCAGATGTTTTCCCCATTCCTATCCCCACAGAAATCATTAGGCAAGTACAAAAGTGGGAACTTGGTGTTATGTCAGTGTTTCCTGCCCCACTGAAAGAGTTGTTGAAAGTAGCTGCTAAATCACCAGCTCCTGTTGTAGGGCCTGTGATAGGTGCTGATCTCCAGCTGGAGGAATGCCATGGAGACACTGCACCAGTGGTCAGCGATTTCAGCACGGTCTGTAATGCCTGCTTGGAGGCACATACCACCTGTGGTGTCCCAGCACACAGCCCATAGGGGCAGAGAAATTTCAATCTGGCTGATTTTGAGCCAGCAGGCTCCACTAGAAAAAGTTGTTTACAAGGAAGTAGTAGGACAGACCATGTTTATACAAATGCTCTGTATTTGTAGGAAATGGGTGTGCAAGGCTGTCAGTGTATCACCTCTCTCAAACTCTAGGCACAGCCAAGGAAAAATTGTAAAGACAGTGCAGTTCAGTGATAAATTTTATCACAATATTTACACTTTAATGGCAATTAGAGTATCAGACTCACCACCTCCATCATCCTGCAGGCACTTCTAGACCAGCATTGTGCCTTTGGTTGCCATATGTCAGCTGTGAGGTGTTGTAGGATGTCATTACAACAGCAAATGTGCTTGGCACCAAAATTTTGACACACTGCAAAAGTCTGTTGGCTGCATTAGGACAAAAGGAGATAAAATCCCCCTTTCAGGAYGAAAGCAGAGCTGGAAACAGAAAAACATTTTGCTGATGTCCTGACAGCTGGTGTGCCTGGCAGATGATTCCCTCTGGACAGTGTGGTCCTGGAGGAAATGTTCCTCTCTACTGAGAACAGCTTGCTGTAGTATATCTTGAAAACTAATACAGAGCTTTGTACAAACATATGAGTACAGAAGGCACTCAGTGAGAAACACAGCAGCCTGCAGCGATTTTCCCTGGATACTCTTGTTGCACAGTTGTAATCCTCTGAGTTTCCTTTCTGCTCTGTGGATTTTGATCTTCCTAGGTAGGATGAGAAATGTTTTCTCTTAGTACTGTGTTGGTGTTCAGGGCAAGCATCACACTTCATCAGTTGCAGGCAAGGCCAAACATGCTACATTTCTGGAAGCCAGAGTCACAGCTGGAGGGACTGAAGTGGGGGTGCCTGGCTACCTTCTCCCATCCTAACCATGCCACCATTTGAGTCCCTGTGGCCTGAGTGGAAATGGTCAGACACTGATGACACCACATGTGCTGGGATGAGTGGGAAGTGGAAAGTCAGAAAGAATTTCCAGGGACATGTGGGCACTCCCTCCTGGAGCTCTTCTTTTCACATGCATCTCTGGAAATGGCTGCATCCCTCCCCCACAAGAAGCTGTGGGATGTGTGCCAGTCAGGCTGCACTGGAAGCAAAGGGAAAAAGACAAAAATCTGAAATATGTTGGTTTGTACCATTCTCTGAGGAGGCCTGGACAGATTTTTTTAAAACAGTGAATGACGTTTGTTGTCTAGAAATGATTATTTTAAGAGCAAGAGCTAACTGCATTTGAAAGGGGAATTCACCTCTTCACCTCACATGATTGTTCAGGATGTGTGACGTCCGGAAACACTGGGATGTTACACATTTTCATTCATGGCAGTTTCACTCTCAGCAATTGTGAGGCTGAACCAAATGTAGGAAAGGGACAGGCTGGTCTGGACTGCCCTTTAAACACACAGAGAGGTTTGCCCTGCTTGTAGGGCATCTACACAGCACATGTGCCTGCAGGGGTCCCAGCTGGGGTGTCCCCGGCAGCCCCAACACTGGCTTCAGCTGCCCTTTGCCTCTTCCCAGTGGGAATGCAGCAGGGACGGAGTGGAATCACCTCTGCTCTGCTCTGTGACCCCACTGGGAGGAGTTCTTGGGATAAAATCACAAGTAGCAACTTGGACATAAATCCACAGAGGATGTGGACCTGGAACAGCGCTGTGGCTCTGGCTCCTTTCCCCTTTTATTCCACCGAGAASAGCTGTTTTCTCTCCCATCTCACCGCGATGCCTCTTACCTTAGGAGGACACCTAGGGCCGGCCCTGYGCTTAGCAATGAGCTTTGTCCGACCTCATCCCCGTGCCTTGAGCACACCCCAGCGAGGACCCTGCCTGCTTTTCTGCTCTCTGTGCCAAGGTTTTGCTAGCAATGGTCACACTGCCGAAACCCAGCGATCACAATGGAGTTTTTAGTGCTTCTCTCTGGTTCACCCTGCTGGGCTCAGAAACTACAGGCACAAGTGGTTTGTGCTCAGTGGTCCAATTTGTGTCTGGGACAGAGCACAACAGCCMCATCTCCTGCCCTCCATAGTCGGGGGGCTCTGGGGAGCTGGCTGCCAGCTTGGCCTGCCTTCAGGAACATCCCATGCCATCCGCTGTCCTACTGCTCTTTAAAATCAGGTTCCCTTAGCTGATGCCAGCGAGATGAGTAAYACACAGAACACAGCAAAGTGAGATGAACGGTAGGAAATGTGGGTGACACCAAGCCTTGCTTCCCCTCAGTAGAGAGGTAATTTTGTTTTTTTCTGGAAGGCTTTCCTGTTTTTCATTCAGCAGCTGTGTGACGGTCTCTGGGCAAGGAGTCCCAGTCCCTTACGTGCCAAGAAAAACACTCTTAAGTTCTTGGCCTCTGAATGCCCATGTTGTGAGTAAGCTGGCAAGGATTAGATGTCCAGCTCTGCCTGTGCATGCACRGATGGGAACAGACAGGAAGAAGTATAACCCAACCTAGAAAATGGTTGAAGGGAAAGAAGAAACCTGACTGAAAAATGCYGGAGAGCTTGAGGTCATTTTGGCACAGACGCTTTCACAGCACAAAGAGTAGGGAGAAAATGGAACCTCTCAGAGATGGTAATAGGCTTCTGTCCTTCATTCTTTCCTCCCCCCTGCCCCCAGCTGACTCTTCTGAACATGACCTGCCAGAGCAACCCACAGCAAGCAACTCCTCACTGCCACACAGACTGGCTGTAGTCAARGCACTGATAGTAAGGTACTCCTTAAGATCTTTCATCAAAATCTGTACCATCATCCTGTACCATCTGAGAAAAATCTGCTTACTTGTGATCTAATTGCGTTTAATGGGAGCTTGGACTTTTTCCAGAGTAAAAACAATTGTTGTTGCTTAAATATTTTATAAACTAGAATTTTTCTGGCCAGAACACAAACTTTTACAAGTCAATGATGAGGAGCCATCATGCACAAACACTTCTTTTGAGCAGTGTGGCTTTGGGTATTAACTTTCTTTCACTGGGAAGTGAAGGAAATGTCAGTTTTTGCTTTCTTCCTGTCACCATGATTTTAGTTTTCCCTTTGTGTCATGTCACAGGGGTGTAACTTTGGAGTAACTTTGAGATACGTAATTCAGTGGCTAAATTAACATTGTTTTCTAAGACTGAGAAAATAATTTACAGCCATTTCTTTCTTTAGTATCTTGCCCAGTTGTTCAGTTTGTAGCCAGCATTTACAGACAGTTATGCTTCTCTTTTGGAAAGGTGTTGCTGTGTTCAAAGGCAAACGAGATCTGCCATCTCTATGCCCTTGGAGCAAGGATGGCAGGGTGAGYGGTGCAGGCAGCAGAACTCCCCACAGGGAGTGGTCCCTGCAGGGTGCTCTGTGGGGCTGCTGCCAGCACCTGGAATCTGCCAGTGGCTCTGGCCTGGTATGATGCTAGTGGAGACCTCGTTATTTCTGTTCAGAATGGTGGTCCTGAAGAAGGACCCACAAACCTCCAAAAGTGGAGTCTGGCTCAGCAGCACTGCCTGCAGCTCTGCAGGATTCAGGGCTACCYACCTTACAGCCTTTGCACTCCCCTAGTTTACACAGCCTAGTTGGTAGGGCGTAAATAAAATAAATCAGGCACATTTTCAGGAAACAATCTCCCACATGACTTGCCAATATGGTGGGAATAAATATTTGATGAAGTCCTATCAGRAACCAGGTGGGCTTCTCTTTGTAAATGTGCTCACGCTGGGGCAGTCACGCCTAAGCAGCGCCGTAGGCTGCAGGCAAAGCAGTTGGAGCAGAGAATGTCTGGGGCTCACAGCTACACAAGTTGTGGAAACTTGCATTTACTGCTGCCACTGCTGTGCAGAGTGAATCCTCAGACTTGAGAGGGAATGGGCAGAGAACACTGTAGCCTGCAAAGCATTCCTGACTTTTACCTGTCTAGGGGAATCTCACAAGAAGGAATGTCCCATTTCTAGGGAAGTCATATTCCAGGGAACATTGTATTGGATTTGCATGGCCAGGTTTTGGTATTGGGGGCGCTACAGGGATGGCTTCTKTGAGAAGCTGCTTGAAGTTTCCCCCATGTGCCACAGAATAAGCACCCGATGGCTCCACGATTGACCTGCCGCTGGCCCAGGCTGATCCCATCAGTAACAGCGGTAGCACTTCTGAGATAGTGTATTTAAGAAGCAGAGAAAAACCTGCACAACAGCACTCAGCTGGAAGTGGGGAGTGAGAATATGTGTGAGAGAAACAACTCTGGAAACATCAAGGTCAGAGAAGAAGGAGGGGGAGGTGGTGTTCCAGGTGCCAGAGCTGAGAYTCCCCTGCAGCCCCYGGTGCAGCTCACAGTGGGGCARCTGTGCCCCTGCAGCCCATGGAGGACCATGGGGATGCAGAGATCCACCTRCAGCCCTCTGAAGAACCCACAGTGAAGCACATGGATGTCCAAAGGAGGCTGAGGTCCCGTGGGAAACGCACAACTGCACAGGGTCCTGGCAGGACCTGTGGGGGCCTGKGGAGAGAGGAACCCAGGYTGGAGCARGTTAGCTGGCAGGACTTGTGACCCCACAGGTGACMCATGCTGGAGCAGTCAGCTTTAAGGGTTGGTTTTTATTTCTCATTACCATACTCTGCTTTGGTAATTGATTTTTATGTGCTGCTACAAGCCGATGAGCTGGGGGGGTGTCACTGGCTTCCCAGTACACACTCCAGTTCATTGGAACTCTACTGGTGTATGTGCTGCTGCTCTTAAGTTCAGAAGGAGCCCAGAGATAAACCAAGACATTGCTCCTGAGAGGAGGTGATGTAAGTTCWGAGGCATCGCATTGCATTTATGTTTCATGCAACTATGTGTAGGAGAAAAGGAGAAAGGTTTGGAACCAGAAGGCTGGGGCACTGCATCTTGCTTTTAAGATAAACATCGTATTTCACACTAAACTTGAGGGCTCTGTGGATTAGCAGAGTGGAGCAGAAGTCTGTGGGTTTTAGCCCCAGTGGCAGAGAGAGGTTTGAGTTCTGCTGCTGCCATCTCCAGGGCTTTTCTCAGTGGCTGCAGGAAGCACCACCGAGACACACCAAGGACAAGCACCCACACATCAGAACCCAGGGAGATCTCAATAATGATCTGTAGCCATCAGGAAAAGCTGTGCTGTGGCACTCACAGGAGCTTGAGGTTCTCTGAGTTCTTTCACCCAGGACACACTGAAGTTGTTTTGGCCTTCAATAGAAGGTACAGATATCACTTCAAGTTTTTCCTCAGTGAAGTGATGGAAAAAAGCAATGGAAATACATTGTGCAGTTGTACCTGTGTAGGGAGTGCTGTGAGCAGCAGGGCCAAGAGGCTGCATCCAAGCTAGAAAAATCTGAGGTTGGATACTCTTATTGTGGATTACCACCCTAAATTTGCCATCTGCAGCCCCTGGAGCTCTCTGTCTAAGCTTTAAGCAGCCATGCCTCCTATCACAGCCAGGCCCATCCAGCACCAAATCCTTGCACCTGCACCTTGTACCTCTGACAGAGTAAGCCCATGGCTCCAGCACATTTCCAGAAAAAAAAAAAATCAGGTTTTGCAGAGGGGTTTTCACTTCTTTGGAACTGAATAACTTTAAGAGAGCTTCCCTTTGCCTCCTTGCCCCGTCTTCCTCCCCATTTTCTTCTGCAGAATTCAAAATGCACTTGGTTATCTTGTCATCCTTTGGGATGTGTAGGTTATTTTGTCAGTACAAAATTTTGATATGATGCTTTACATACAAAAAGGCTAAGTGCCACTTTGGCCACATCTGAAGAACAGGGGATGCAGGAAGTGGCTGTCATGGGGGAATATCCAGAGGTGCCAGCCTCCACTTCCACCTGACCTTCTGTATGGCAAGGATATCATAGTTCAATTCTTAATTTGCAGCTCACTGAATTCTGATAGAAAAAAAACATAAAGCACATGTAGTTAGAGGGAGAAACCCAATATCCCATCTTTTTGCTCACAGTGATGCTGTGCAGGAGGGCACATGAGGGAACCTGGGAAGTGACCCCGCTGTGGAGGACAGCTCCTGGCTGCAATGGCCTCCCCTCCCCTCCCAGCAGCCTGCATGGTGCTTCACTGTGCACATGTGGCTGGAACAGTGGCACTGACCCACAGCAGCAAGGCCATCACTGTCTCCCACTCTGGCTCTTGGAAAGGGATTGCAGAAGTACTTTCTGCTGAAACCCAGCTCACACTATCCAGGTAACTGCTGCAATAACCTCAGCTGTCACTGCTCYTGTGACCACTTCCATGTGTAGCAGGAGGTGCCTCTCCCAATTTGCTGCAAAACCACATCAKCACACCAAATATAATCCACTTAAAAACAGTAAAAAACCCAAAACACAACCTGCAAACAAAAGGTCATTTTTCAAGAAACTTCAGTACACCTTCCACAGGCTGCATGCTGCTTATTTGACAAGAGGTCAGGTTGCTTTTACAGGACCAAGGTACTGTATGAAGCTCGTCCTGAATCACTCCAAAAAGGTAGGCTGCTTGCATAAAAGGAGACACATTTTAAGGATGTAGGTCATGATAAAAGCATGGCTATAATAATTCAGAAATAAAGACACTTGTGCATAAATAGTCTGACTTCAAGCGAAAACTGGCATCAGTGTACTGTTCATAGCATCAAGACCTCTGGAAATCACAATGGGATCTCCTAGCTGAAAACAGAGTGGAAGGCATGAAGCTTGCAACTGACACTGAACTGGGGCCAACACAATGATCACACAAAGTGCCACGACTGATGCATGACTAAAGTCTTTGGGCAAGGAATCAATCACAATTCACCTCAGGTGCCTGATGCTTCTTTCTCTCCCTTTGATCACATGGTTGTTGGAAAGGTCATTTTCTCCATGAAAGAACTTTAAGACTGCAGGACAGAAAGTCCAGAATTCACAGACCAAAGGAGTTTCTCATGCTTTATGCAAAAGGTCAACCAGGGCTTGAGGCTTAGACTGGGGATTGCTTCTCTACTTCAGAGTGGGCACAGATACAACAGAGCCACCTCTATGTTCAAAAATAGTGTCAAAGCTAGCCCCTCTCCCTGAACCGACTCTGGTTTGCCCTGTGAGAGCCTTCAGCACCCTGCAAAGAACAGGCTGGATCACATACCTCAACTCTCCCCCTAGTGAATACAAGCTGCTTAGACACTGCAACCATGCATGTCTCAAAAAACAGCAGCAGCTCTRTGTTTGATCTCACTCATCCCTTCTGGAAACATGCACACAAGAAGGCGCAAGRCAACTTCCAGCCACAACTTTTGAGGAATTATCACAAAATGTTCTCTCACTTAAGAGGACACAAAGTCAGCCAGAAGGGTAATTCAATGTCATCTGAAAGGGAGTAAGGATATGGATTGATGCAGTACCAGCAGAAAAGCATTCCAACTATTTTTAGGGGTCTTCCAAGCCGAGTGTCTCTTGCTGTGCAATCAGAAAGATGCTGCCTTGACAACAGCAAGGACTTCTTTGCTGTAGGAGTGGCAGAACATTTGCCTGAGTCCTGAGAAGCTCTGCTGTGAACAAAGTGAGTTGTACTTGCAGGTATGCAACTCCTCCTTTTTTGAATTTGAAATGTGAGTTCAAGTCATGCAAGTGACCAACACATACTGCAAATTTTATTTTTATTTCCTTATTACAGAAACTAAATTAGCATATGTCTACACCTTAATTAAAACAAATTCACCACTGCAGAAAAAGAGCATTCTTTTTATTCTCTAAAGCACACCTGTGAACACAGAACAAAGTGTAATTCAGTACATAAAAGCTTCTTCTTAGTGCACCTCTCATTGAAGTTTCTCCATTAGTTCTTTTTAAAAAATCATTACATCTTAGGTATTTATATTTGCTTGCATTAAGCTTTGCATCTTCTACCCCTAATGCAATTCACTTCTAGA